GAACACTCTTGTAACTGTGTATTTCATGATGATTGAATAAAATAAATAAAAATAACTATAATCTAACAAGCATAAATATCACCTCCTTTTTCATTCATATACTTAATGATATATTTAATGAGTGACTCTTTGTTGGGAAGCTTATAGGTGATGAAAAAATGTGCTGAGTGTTGGATGGATAGCAATGAAACAAGAGACCCAGACACAGCTGTGGTGATGCAACTTTTAATGAATACACATCAAGTGACATAAACTACTACTGTGATACATGAAATAAAGGCAACAAATTTGGGTGTCTTCAGTGAGACTAATGGCAAAGAACATACTTTGTAGTTTGAGTTCAAGGGATATTTTTCTAAGGAAGAGACATTAAATTTGAGACAGAGAAATGGGCGAGATCATTGTTATTACTGTGTCAATTACTAGATTCTAGGACCTGGGTTCAATTCCTCCACCCCTCTCGGAGAGCCTGGAAAGCTACAGAAAGTATCTCGCCCACATGGCAAAGCCTGGCAAGCTACCCATGATGTATTCGATATGCCAAACACAGTAACAAGTGTCACAATGGAGATGTTACTGGACCCACTCGAGAAAATCGATGAATAATGGGAGGACAGTGACTGTAACAGCGGCAGGACCTAATTAGTTTTGAAAATTGCAACAATATGGAGACTCCTTTGTGCTTTTTTCTCATATTACATACCTACTCATTCTCCAAAACTAAATTCATTAAGCTCTACTTATTTTGAGGTAAATATATAGACATATAAATATATAGAAATATATTTTAAACAGGCATGTATCACCCATAGAAAACTTCCTCTGCTGGGGTGGGTTTAGATGGAAATGGAATCCCTGTGTTCAACTTTCCCAAAAATAACTCAGACAAGCAGGGCACTCAAAGACAAATCATTCCCCTTATTAAGTCTTTCCAGGAATCTTGCCCAGGATGGAAGTCAGTCTTACTGGTTGTACAAAAATCTACATTATTCATCTTATTGCAAACTCCATGAACATTTCCTCTCTTTTTCATCTTTATATGCTTATATCTTCCTTGATTTATTCCTCTTTCCATCCTAAATTCTAGAACACAAAGTACTTTTGTATAAATTAGGGTATATTCATTTCCAGGCAGAGGAGTTGCAAGATAGATTTCCTCTGGTAACCTTGATAGAAAGGGGAGCCCCTTCCCCTGGCCTGTTACCATCTGATTGCAGAGATGATAGGTTTCCCATAAACCAACAGAATTGGTTATATATCTACCCTTGTTAGACACCATCTTTCTGACACCCTCGTGCTTTTTTTTACACCTGGTCTTCACAATACCTCAAAGATCAGAATGAATGATTTGCTATTTTCGTTTGTTAAATCTTTCTGTTAGCAATCAAGAACATTGGCTTTCTCAGCTTTTACTTTTGTCCCTTTGAACAGGTCATCTGACCTTTCCAAGCTTGACTTTTGTTATTTTATACAACGAGGATATTAATGAACACTGCTTGCAAAGAATTTCTGTAAAGATTGCATGAGATGATTCACATAAAGTACTTACCAGACATTGCCTGGGACTTTGTAAGAATCCAATAAATTATGGCTATTATTACTTTTGGTCCCTGGAAAGCTACTGTCTGAGCCAAGAAAGTAGAACAGCCAAAGCTTCGTTTTCATTTATTTATACATCTTGTATTTCAGTCTCCACTTACCACTGAGGGTGCTCCATGTTTGAAATACCAATAAAGCAGCAGAAAGAGCCTCATCACTTAGAGTTGTGATTTTACTGTCATCCAACAATATAACACAATTATACTTGGTGTGCTCAAGCTATAAATCTATCCCTTCTATGATCATTGTCTTCTGAAGAGAATTTAATATTCTATAACCTCTGTTACTCTCTTTAGAGATGCCTTAGTCTATTTGGGCTGTTGTAACAAAAAAAAAAGAAAACAAATGAAAACTGGGTAACTATAAATAATGGAAATTAATTTTTCACAATTTTGAAGGCTGGAAAGTCCAGACTGCAGAACTAATATTTTGTGAGAATCAACTTTCTGGGCCATAGATTCTTTTTGTGCCCTCCTCCAGTGATGAAGAGCAAGGGAACCCCATAACCTCTTTATAGTGACAATAATCCCATCCATGACCCAAATGTCTCCTAATGCTGGCCCCAAATCCTAATACTATTATACCCAGGATTCGTTTTTAACATTTGAATGGGGACCACGGGGGTGGGGGACACCGTGGGAGGTGGGGGGAAGGAATGAGAGTGGAAAGGCACAGATTCCGTCTATTATAAGGGTTTTAGTCTCAATTGGCACAATTTCAATTCCTGAAGAATAAATTTATCTTGGGAAAACAACTTTTACTTCTTTCTGTTTAATTGTCCTATTCTCAGAAGTTGAGTTTTAGGTGTTAGTTAATCTTCTTGAGCTCTGGCGCTATCCAATTCTAATAGTAATCAGCTTTCTTCTTTTTTTTTCTTTTGCTTATGCTTTTTTTGGGTCACACCTGGGGATGCACAGGGGTCACTCCTGTCTCATGCACTCAGGAATTACCCCTGGCGGTGCTCAGGGGACCACATGGAATGCCGGGAATCAAACCCGAGTCAGCCACGTGCAAGGCAAACGCCCTACCCACTGTGCTATCACTCCAGCTCCTAGTGATCAGTTTTCTGTTCCTTAACTACAGATTCCACATCTACCAAGACTTTTCTTCCTAACCCACAAAAAATGTTAACCATATAGACACCTTTTCCATTGATTCCTCTAACTTCTTCTTTTGCAATGAATTCATCCATATTCCTTCATATTGGGGTCATAGTAACAGTTCTCTCCCATTTATTTCTTCCATATTGGGGAAAACTCAACCTGTAAGAAAGACTCATCAAGTTTGTATCTGACAAAATGCTCTCATCCCAGTGATATATCAGCAGATGGCCATAGGATTGATTGAATTCCCTCAAAGATTCCCTTGTGGCCTCTGTGTCTGAGAAGTTGCTTCATATCCTCCATATGGTCAATCTGCCTATGGTAAACTTGAACAATAATAACTTTATCACTCTGTCTCCTCATCACTCTCATGCTCTTTCTGACTTGATTCCATGTTTGGCTTTATAGGTTTCCAAGCAGATAGACTTTCTTAGCTGTCATAGACATGATTGTTTAGTCGAAGATAGAAGAAACCCAATTTGAAGTTGGTTACAAATAAAAAGGAACCTAACAGGCTTTTTTGAACAAATTTCAGAAAGTATGCATAAAATCATGAATTCAAATATCATCAGATCTCTGGATTCCATCACTTCCTCTTTCAATAGGGCTGGGATTTTATAGTGAATATTGTGGCATGTTACCTCTATAACAAAGATACTTATCTCCCCAGAACTGTCAACTATCTTCAGAAACTACCTGAACTTAAGAAAGTTACCTAGGTTTCATGCACCATCAGGGCAGACCATTGTAATGATATAAAGACTTGGTGTCTCCATCAACCTCAGAATACTTCTGAAGAGTCATTCTCCATTCCAAGATCTGCAGGAAGTCAGCCAAGCATTTTCTTGAGAGCACATTTTACCCCAATATTTTCCATAGTTCAATCCTTCTTTTCCTTCCCTTCCACAACACTTGATCTCAAGAGCACTCCCTGCCTCATTGTACAGTGCATGCCTTGAGTGTATGAAGCCCTGGGTCCATGCTCTACATCACCAAAAGTTAATGAACTAAAATCCCCAGAGCACTCCCTAAAAGAGTCTCCTAGCACATTCCTATATGTCTCAGAATCTACTTCCCAGGGTACCAATCTATTAGCTTTCCACTTTCCCACCTTTGACATCTGCAAGGATAGGGGCTTTCATTTGCCAACTCTATTTCAATAAATCTTGAAAAAGACTCTTACTGGCCTCCACTTGTGTGGCCAGGACTGTGGTCTGGTTCCAGAGCTACCATACAGCGGTATGGTATGATTCAGGCCGAATCAAGGTGTACTGATTGGGGATCACCCTGACAGCAACGGAGACCAGGTTTTCTGCTTCTAATTTAGATCACACAAGTTGCGGTAGGTAAAAATGATTCTCTCATGAAGTTAGGTGACTAGCCCAGATGTGGCTCTGTAAGAGCCACAGCTGAACCTTGCTCTGTCTTCCCTTGGATAGTCTTCCTTTTAAAGACTAGGTTTTTTCCATCACCACATTCCAATTGTAGTCCTATGCTCTGCACAACATAGAAAATCATGTCCCTGATTCCACAAGTCCATGTTGGCCAATATTAATAAACAATACTTCTAGTGCAATATTTCTTTCCTCTTTCTTTTGGAGTTCTCCAATGAAGTTATTTTCTGTATACAGACTTCCTATATAGATGACCTTGTATCAAACCCATGGGTGCCTTTTAGTAAATGTGTACCCTTTAGCACTTCAGTGAAAATAGGTGTACATGTACTTTTCATGTTAACAACTTAGCATCCTCCCTCTTAACTGACTAAAGATCATTTGCAGCTTTCCTCAAAAATTTGACTCTTTGAAGATTTTTCTTTGCATTTGGAAGAACTGAAGATCTATTGATTTAGTGGCTTGCTTTTTGTGTTTGCTTGAGAGTTACTCTCTGGACTATTTAACAGGAGAACATGTTTCCTAGGATGGACAACAGTTCATAATGCATAGTATGTTTATATTATATTCAGTGGACCATGATCACTGAAAATAATGAACAACTTTCAAGTTTCTTTATTATTTTTTTCTTGACATCATTAAAAATATTTTAATTATCCAGGTACATTGAATCATCTCTCCTAAACAAAGGCCCTCTATAATCTCTCCTGTGTCGGCACAAGTAAACCCTATCAAGGAGCTAAATTGAATGAGAATTACAGACCCCATGAATTTACCAACTGACACTTCGACAGAATTCAGCCAAGAGGCGAGATCCCAGGTCTAATATAGGGGTCAGCATGCACACACACTCCCCTCAAACCCACAACGGGTAAGTGACAAAGCAACCAGGGCAGAGACAGGGGAATGTTGGGAGGTGCAGCTAGTCCTCTGAGGGTCCTCAGGCAGGGCTGCTCTCTCTGAACCCTTTTAGTAGGAGGATTGTATCAGAAGAGTCTTGTTTCATCAGGCTATGCTTTCTGTATCCTCCAGAAATTTTTTTATTATTTTAACATTTGAATTACAACTGGTACCTGTACAAGTATGTTTAACCTTGGGCATTCCTTTGAGACTGGTGAAAGGTAAGAACTCTTTTTTATAGAAAACTAGCTATAGTAGGTGCTTACTAAAGAACCCTGTGATTAAACATCTGGACTCTAAAACTCATAGCAAGTACTTTCAATTCAGTAAAATGAACTGAGACTTCTCTCTGATAAATAGAATTTAAAGTCCCAGAAAACATCTTCTCTCTCCATTTCCTGGCTCCCCATTATCAGTCCTGGAAGCTCCAGCACCTCTTCAGAGTTGCCTTACTCTGGTACAAGGGCTAAGCCCTGTGCATGACTATTCAAATAGATGAATAGCAAATAATGAAAAGCTTGGACCCAGCTTGCCATGCCATGTACCCTAGCACTGGGCTTCACCCATTAAGAGTGGCAACACTTTACTTTTAGTACACAGATGTCTGTGTGTAAGCCAGCCAGTTTTCTATAGGGTCACCTATATTCTGGACTTGGCAATAGGTAGAAATGGCTATGGAGGAAGCACACCTAAATCAAAAATAAATTCTATATCTTCACAGAACTAACTCAAACTAAATCAAAAACAATATAATACTTGTGCTATCACTTATAGAATAGCCTAAGGGAAGTAAATGTTGACAGAGGTCATGGCAATGATTTTTGACCTGTAGTTTTTAAAATACAAACAATACAATCAAAAGCAAACAAGTGAGATGGCAACAAATCAGAATGCCATCTGTATAACAAAATTAATCATCAAAAAACCCAGGAGATTATTTTGTAAACCACACATATGATAAGTAACTCATACAAAAAATATACAATAAACTCACAGAACTCAATTTAAAATAAATGTAAATACATAATAAATAGATAACATACTCAAAATGAGTAAAGGGCTTGAATAGACGTGATCCAAGGAAGACGTACAAATGAAAACAGGTGTGTAAGCAGGTACTTGACATCACTAATGATGAGGGAAATGCAAATCCAAACCTCTTTGAATCAACATCTCTGACTTATCAGGAAAACATTATAAGAAAAACACAAGAGATAAGCAAATACTCCTGGTAGGCAGGAAGGGAGTAAGAAAAGGTGAAGAAGGAACCCTCTGAGCACTGGCATGAGATGTAAATGTTTTCACTGCAACATCATCGCAATAGCTAGAACCTAAGTCAGTGTGCGTTCAGCAATGAAAGGAGAGAGAAGCAGTGTGGGGCCAGAGGTGTCGCAAATAGGTCTTATGTGTGAGACTGAGCAGCATGCACAAAAAACGTAGCAGAAACAGAGATAGAAATAGACAGAGAGAGAGACTCAGACAGAAATAGACAGAGATAGAGACAGAGACAGAGATTGATATGGAAATGGAGACAAAGAAATAGAGTTTAAAGTAGAAATAGAGACAGAAACAGAGACAGTGATAGAGACAGGGACAAAGTTAGAGTAGAGATAGAGATAGAAATAAAGACTGAGGTAGCAGAGATAGAGATAGGAACAAATAGATAGAGACAGGGTCAGAGACAAAGACAGACACAGAGACAGATACAGAGATAGACAAATACAGAGATAGAGACAGATTCACACACATGCACAGTGGAATAGTATGCACCATTAACAAGAGGGGAAAATTCTGCCATTTACAATAATACGATTGTACGCTGAGGGGCAGTGCTGAGTGAAATAAGTCAAAGAAAGACAAATATCATAAGACCTTATTGTGGACTCTAAAAGAACTAAATTTAGAGGCTAAAGTATAGAGCATAATATAGAGGGTAAAGCATTTGCCTTGCATGCAGCAAACCTGGGTTTAATCCTTAGCACCCCATATAGTTCCCTAAGACCCACCAGGGGGATTTCTCAGCACAAAATTAGGAGTAAGCCTTGAGCACTGCCAGGTGTGACCCAAACCAACCAAAAAAAAAAAAAAACCTGAATTTAGAAGACTAGTAAATTGGAGGTAAGAGTGATGAGGGTTGGGGGAAATGTCCCTAGTGGTTCAAAGCTGCAGACTTCCAGGTTAACCTGGGGGTGTGAAAACACTGCTATCAATGCTGTAGAATATATTTGAATGTTACTAAAAGGTAGCACTGCAGCACTGTCCTCCCGTTGTTCATCAATCTGCTTGAGTGCGCACCAGTAACATCTCCATCGTGAGACTTGTTACTGTTTTTCGCATATCAAATAAGCCACAGAGAGCTTGCCACACTCTGCTGTGCGGGCAGGATACTCTCAGTAGCTTGCCAGGCTCTCTGAGAGAGATGGAGGAATAGAACCTGGGTCGGCCACGTGCAAGGCAAATGTCCTACCCGCTGTGCTATCGCTCCAGCCCACTGCTCAGGGTCACTTAATCACTTAACTTCCCGTTAGTCGTCGATTTGCTCGAGCGGGCGCCAGTAACGTCTCCATTTGTCCCTGTCGCGTGCTAGTGTAGCCCAATGGCATCTGTTCGCTCCGGGAACATGAAGGGCCTCAAACCGATCGTTCATGATCTTGACAAAGAAGTCTGACCATCTGGTAGGTGGGCGGCCACGTGGTCTTTTGACATCCCGTGGAATCCAGTCGGTAACAGCTCTAGTCCAGCGGTCGTCTTTAAATCTCATTACGTGACCAGCCCATCTGATTTTCGACACCTTGGCAAATGAGACAGCGTCCCTGATTCTTGATCCTCGATGGATGTCAGAACTCCGGATTCGTTCTCTCATTTGAGTGAAATGTGATATTCCAAGCATAGCTCTTTCTATTCTTCTTTGGGAGACCTGAATGGCGTTCTCATCTTGTTTGCATAGGGCCCAGGTCTCTGAGGCATATGTTAATGCAGGAAGAACAGTGGAATCAAAGAGATGTGCCCGGAGCCGGAGGTTCTTCGTCCTCTTAGCTATTTGTTCGACGTTCTTGAAGGCGTTCCAAGCCGCTCTCTTCCTCCTGCGCAGCTCGGGTGCCAGGTCATTTGTCATGTTGACCTCTCGATCTAGGTACACACAGCTGTTGCATTCGGACATGGTCATTCCGTTGAGAGCGAATGGGGCATCAGGAACGAGGCTGTTTCTCATAAACATTGTCTGCTCAGGGTAGCCCCCAAAATTATAAAGCAAAAAGCAAAAACAAAACCTGGGTAACAAGCGATTTCTATTAATGCCTCTGCAGGGGTTAGTATTAGGGTAATTAGCTACCACCAAGATCTGTACAGCATGAGCGGAAGTAAAAGGTGAATATTAAAATATTTCATTACAAGGAAAAATCCTGCACCAGTGACAGGGTCAGCTATACTTGCTGGGAAAAACCTTCGATGTTTATGTATCAAATCCTTAAGTTGTACATCTTAAACCTATAGGATGCTGAAGTTCAACTCCATCTTCATGAGGCTACAATCACTTTGTGTTAAAAGCCCTGAACAGATCTCTTGCAGTCACTTCATTCCATGCTTAAGGCTCCAGGTTATTTCTCATCTGTCCATGAGTTCCATCTCCTTGTATTTGGTCTCTGTTCTGCCCTAAGTCAGCATTGAGATGATAAGAAAAACTCTATTATTCCATGATCATAAGCAGAGTTTTCTAAAGGTATTTGATTCTTCAAGAATGTGATTTGACCTAGAGCCTCAGGATTTCCCTAAAGGAGTCTTTGCTCCTTTCTCTTTGACCATCTGATTAAACCACATTTCATCCATGTAATATTTCTGAGGTGCAAACCACGTTCCTTTCTAACTCCTTTCCTACTGGATTCCATGTCCTAGAAATGCAAGCTGCCCCAGGAAGATTTCCCTCTTTAGTATGATGGTTCTTAACACACTTCCATAATGGTGACAGTGTTCAGGATTGCTGAGTCCCTCATCCATGCCACAGACCCTGTCTGAAGTCTCAAGCATGGGAGAATTCAGCGGAAGATAGAAGGAAAAAGTGCTATTGTCCTTGGAAGTACTATCTGCTCAATGCGATTAAATTGACAAGAGCCTGGGGCTGGCTTACAAGACCCTCTTCAGAGATAAGGGCCTGACCACAGGCCTATTGGGATCTTAACTTCCATCTCTTGTTTGATGTGTGTAATGGCCTATTATTAACATAAAGAGGAATCTTGGAGGGTTTAGAGAAATCTGCCTAACGGCAAGAGAGTTATCCAAATGGCCTCTGAGGTCTCTTTTAACCATCAATGCTGTAAGGCATTGGCAGAGAACTCAATCCTCTGAAGCCTTATTTTCTACTTGGGGGAGAAGGATGCCGAAGGAGACTGATTTACTGAACCCACTTGTTTGAGTCATGGAGTTAAGACCCGGAGTGTGCTGGCAGCCTGCCCTCTTAACACCTCTATACTGGGCCCAGTGAGGACACTGCACACTAAGTTTTAGGGTGGATGGGGCAGTAGAGCCTCAGGATTTCCCTGAAGCATCTTCTTTCAAGATCACGTGTGATTCCATGCCTGCTTCTGTGTCCTGCTCTGCAGATACTTGCAGCTGGCCTCTTTGTCTCCTGTTTGGGTACAAAGATTCTAACCTGTTTTCACTGCTTTCCTCAGGGGAGTTTTCTTTATACAATGGATTTGTCTCTCCAACAAGTTTCCGCTCAGCTCCCTCAAGGAGAGCAAGTCAACAATATCTCCCATCCCAGAGTGTGTTGGACCTTCTCTGGTTCTTAAGCCCAAAGATGGGGTGAATATTATATCGTGGTACAAGAAATGCATAGAAAGACAAAAACACATAGCACTTAACCAAAGAGTAACTTGATACTTGACTGGGTCTTATGGCAATGTCCTCTTTGTTGGCATAGTCTGATGATCCTGAGGGGCTGCTACCATTTATTTTGTGTGACAATATTTCCAGGGTAAGAAAGTCTTGGAGAGTGCTGAAGGCTACCGTATGTATGACCATTCCTGTGGCATTTGAGCAAACGTTGGACTTAAACATCCTTCTCCAAAGTTGAGAGCTCCATGCAGTCATTGCCAATGTTGACATTGGACAGGGAGAAGACAATTATCAGAGCAC